AATAAAGTCAGTTAAACTTAAACAAAAATATGCATTATAAATTTCAAACACAGACGCTAATAGAACAATACAAATTAATAATAATTACTCACCCTATTGCTCTCCAATGCTTCAGCACTATGTTCTTCCTTTTGTCGAAAACAGTTAGTACACTTTGTCTTATTAAATATATTAGGGGAGAACTTTCTACATTCGCCTGAACGTATCAGCTGACTTGACATTCTGGCGAGTTATGTTTAAATCGGTTTCCAAACAGAATTATTCCTTGAATTTTCACTTGAGCGAAGCATAGACCTTAAGTTTCCATGGGTCTTTTAGTAACATATGATTTTATGGATGAAAATGCACACGGTTGTTTTGTAACTAGGCCTACATGGCAACACCGCATTCCTGCTCCCCTATTCCTATATTTTGGTGCAGTAACACAACACTAAACTAATATTGAATCACTCCGAACCACTAATGAGTGCATAACGATGGTCGTATCATCGGCGGAAGACAGCAAGTGATAAGGTTACTAGAAAGTGCCGTGTACAACCTCACAGGTTTGCGATTCAGCAAGAACTGAATTCCCAGAAACCAAAATGGCAATCTCAACCAACCAGAATTAAGGTGTAACTATGGCCGGTCCGATACTAGCGCTCCTATTGGTGCGTATGCGAGTTTTCATCAGCGCTCTCTACAAACGATTAAGGCAACTCCACATTTTCAAATATAAAAAAAACTACTTTAGCCATTTCAGATTTATCTTTAACAGCCTCTTCAAGTTATTAATTAAGTAATCATAACTAAAGTATAATACTCTTTTTTCTTCAAAATAAGTGGCTACAAAATTGTGTGCTAAGTGGTTTTTCAATTACTTCAAATCCTCACCTTCAGATATTTCTATCAAATTTAGTGATTATATTCTTGTCTTTTCTTAGATTCTTTAACTTTTATACATCTTTCCTAAAAAATACCGCTTAATAAGTACGTAAATTAAGCGCTGTGTTACCAAGATACAGTTTTTCCCAGTATTGAAACAGATGCGATGGCATTGATGAGCTCAGCTCTGCATTTAGGAACTTGCACTATGCTAAAGCTCATCATTAATTTATTGAAAATATAAGGATGTCGAAATATAGAAACACAAATTATTATAACAAAAGCAGCTGAAAACTGTGTCTTTAATAAGTTTAAAATTTAATAACCAAATTTATTCTAAGAAAAGGATTAATCCTTTATTTTATTTATATTTGTTTATGTAGAAGATACTGCTATCAATTGATTTTAAATATAAGGTATATAACTGGTTAAATAAGTTTTTCACTGATTCTACAATTTTTTCATTTTTATAGCTTAAACCCATTGTAAGATACAAACTTTTTCGTGATTCAACACGAGGGTGATCGGAAAAATGTGAAAAGTTTAAAATACTTTTTTGTTGTTATTTCTTGATAATATTTAGCTTTTTCAAGAGATTTACTATGGAGCAAATTAAACCGGTAAGGTTGCACTTATCCCAGTCTCCATGGTTTCACTTGCCCAGGGGGACGGGTGTAGCCACGGCTTTCTTTTTTAAATTATTATTCCATTACCAAAATAAGGTACATTTCTGAAAACTACACATTAAACTTTATAAAAATACAAATTTTGGTTATCCTGGGTTGAAAGTCAAAAATGCCGAAGTTTCATGGTCAAACTTTCAACAGAAAATGTAAGAATTTTTAAAAACAAAAAGCAATATATATACAAACTGGATTTACTCAGGCTCTTTGGGAAAATTAAAAAAAAAAATGTAAAATTACAAACAACTGTTTTTTTCTGAGAAATAATATTTTTTTAGGACAAAAACCAGCCGTGACCATACTTACCGTGTGTTTGCACTTACCCCACTTCATCCTATATCTTTAATAAATAATGTTCCATAAACTACTATCAATTTAATCATATGCATTGAGCCCTCCTATTTTCATATATATTTTACTGTTTCCTGGATCAACCATTATCTCCATTTCAATAAATAATATAAAATTAAATCTAAGAATTTGTTAATATTCGATATCAATCCTAACTTGTGTCACTAAATTTCATTTAGCAAGGCTTTGATTGGAGACAAAAGATAGTTTATAAGTTTTAATTTCATATATTGCTCTGTAGGAAAACATTTTCTGCTTCATATTAATTCTTGTTAAAAATATAATATCTATGACTTTCGATGCCGTTCATGAAGCAATGCCAAGTGATCTATTTACAAATTATGACATGGACAGTGGTCGCCCCAAGGATCAGGGGGCTCCATAAGTCAGATACAAAAGTATATAGATTATATAATATTGATAAAAACACTCCATTTTCAGATTCATTCTTTTTCATTTTTATTTATCTCTTCATAGACAATATTTTGTAAAGAGGAAATTATTATCTCTTGTATTAATTAATATTTGAACAGTTACTGTTTTTAAAAAAATTGCAAGCTAGCTAGAAATTTGAAATTTAGCAGCTATTTTTTTAAAGCAAAGGTATACTTAGATTTAATATAATAATATATTTAGGTATAACTTGATAACATGAGATGATAAGCTACTGGCCGATTCGGAAGTGTTGAAGGAAGTGACTGGTAAAATCTATTAAGAATATAGAAACTTTATTTTAAATTTAATAGTATTTTTTTTTTTTGTCTTCAATAATATGTTTTTTGATACAAAGATTTAGTATAAGTACTAAAATTACTTTTATATGATAATTGCTCCTTAAAACAATGTTAATTTAACTGACACCGACTCCATTCGAAACAGCTCTTGTAATGAGAATAGAGTATAAATGAAGAATAAAATAATTAAACACGTATATAAACTCCACGGTTTGTAAAATATAACTAAATCTTAGAAACTAGTTATCTATCGAGTAACAAGATTATGAAGTGATAGTTTAAATATGTATTATGGGATAGACAAATAAATAAAAATAAGCTCTATTTTATAAGCAATGATAAACTAGATGAAATTAAAAGCTTCAGTGAGTTGAAGCTGCATGCTAACATTAAAGTGATAAAACAAATAGGTCATCATTACACAATCAAGGACACTTTTAAAGGTACTTGATTCGTCCAGTAATTAACTAATGAACAATCCAGAATATTCAACTGTATAACTATCATACACTGGGGAGGAGAAATAGGATTAAAACTTTAATTTTAAGGCCAACAATTTAGATACTATACTTGTTTTAATTTAAATAGAAACAAAGAATTTATATTTAATAATTTCAAAATTCTGATGAATTTATTGAAACTTCCAAATTTTCAATAATAATTCATCAAATCTATATCATATCGTTTTTTCTAAAAGACTTAAATGTCAAAAAGTTTAAATTTTTTTCTTTTTTTTGTTCATTATTTTTCATTATCTTTTTTTTGTTTTTATTTATAACTGTATTATAAAAAAAAAAATAAATAAAACTAGTAAATGTGCACTCAGGAATATAATAACATGAAATTGCTTGTTGAGAAACTACCCACTGATAGCACTCAAATAATAAATTTACACAAGAAGATCACGAGGCCACCTTCTTTTCAGACACCACAGAGGATTATCAGGGATTGAGGAGGAAGCAAGGTTTGAAATGAGAGGGTTTGAATGGTTCTGCATTTTGTTATGGAAGGATGGGTATCTGGATTGGGCCAAATCGGAAACATATGGAACATTAAGGTCTTTATGGATGATTTTATTTGTGAAAAAGTAAGGAGCGTTGAGGATTTTACAAAGGATTTTGGATTGTAAGGATTGGGCACGAGAGGAATTCGATGGTTTAGTGGAGCCCTAAAGCTCAAAGCTTAAAATTAGATTTAAAATTCTTAAGGGTTATAAACTTATAAATAACTATGTATTGCAAACTGTATAACTTTTGCCACCTTAATAGTCTTCGACTATTAACAATAAAAAATAAAAATTGTGGATTCTTCAGGAAAATGCTTGATCTCCCACATCTACACTGCCCAACTTGTAAATATTAAATAAAATATAAAATTAAACTTAAAAGTATACAATAAAAAATAAAACTAAAGAACAAATTGTTATTTGTGGAATAAAGATGTTTTATGTTTTTAAATAATGTTATGTCAAAAAAAAAGTAATGGTTGTATATTAACGGTAATAAGTTTTATAACATTGATAACAATGATCATTACTACCTTAAAATCTTGGGTAAATGAAATTAATCTTTTATTTTAAAATAATACTTTATTTCACTTTGTTTATAAATTCATTTTATAAAAATATTTATAAAATCATATTTTGATGATTCTATTTACAACTAAAATAATATTTGAAACTTGTAACAATATAAAATAAATCCTTAAAGGATAAAGTATTTTTAACTGAAAGTGGTTATATAAAAATGTTTAGTTTCCAATTAAATTGAATTAAGTCAAGCCTGCTAATACAGAAACAAATATACTCATGAAATAAATAAAAAATTAACATGTGTAATTCCATAATACAACATTGGTCTGATAAAATAAGTTCATTTTTTCAAAACAATATCTAATCTAACTGAATTTCTCTTACCTATATAACTAATACTTATTCATCGTAAATATTTTTAATACTTATAAAAATAGTCAGCAGGTACAACAGTTCAGAACCCAGAAAGGTCCCATCATACATATACATATCACTATGCAGAGTAATAGACTAGAAAAACACTATATTAAAATTGAGAATTTTACAATAATTATATACAATCAGGAACTGTGTTACATTAAAATTTATACAATTTAACTTTAAAAAAAAATCAATTTGGAAATTAGTTACAAATATTATATATAAATGCTTCCAAACATATTTTGTTTATAAAAGTAAGCATGTAAAATAAAAGCAAAAAATATTAGTTTTTAAATTATTGAAAAAATACTGAAAGTCAAGTAGTAGTCTTATAAGTAACTTGGGTTATAATTGTTGTGCACTTATAAACTATTTCAGGAATGTAATGAAATAATTATTATAAATAAAACATTAATATTAATGATAAGGCTCCTGCCTTTCTGTAGAACGTAACATGGTCGAAAATATTCCCATTGATCGATGAAGCAGTTCATGCGGAGTGCCATCTTCAACCACCCGCCCTGATTCTAAGACGATTATTCTATCACAGGAGAGAAGGCTTCCAAGACGGTGCTGAAAATTAATTTAATAATACTATAATTAAATATAGCAAAAAGTAATTTTCATTATAAGACACCTAACCACCCCTTTGAATAATATAAATGTACCAATCCAGTTATATTGTCATACTTATATTTATAAAGTAAAATATAAATATAAAAATAAAAATGAAAATATTGTAATTATAAGCTAATATACATAGAGTTATGTTAAAATTTTTACTTCAATAAACAGTGAATCGAACAATTATATTCACAGTCTCTGGACATAACTAGTTAAATTGAAAAATGGTCCTCAACGAGTTATGCACATTGAGATCATCTTTCAAGCATTCTAAACACCATGAACAACTTGGTAACTAACACTACTAAAAATTTTAGAGGTCTAGATGAGAACTGTGAATTTGCTAACTTCTTCACGGTGTTTAGAATACTTGGAAGATGATCTCAATTTACAGAACTAGTAAGGACCATATTCCAAACTAATCAGTAATGGCCAGATACCATTAAATATTGTTTGTTTTATGAACAATGAAACAATTAAAGAAACAGACAAAAACGTTAGTCTGAAATAGTTGATAAGATTGAGAAATAATTGGTGTCAAAATTAAGATAAAGATGAAGTTTTATGAATGAAAATGAGTGAAATATTCCATAATAAGTATAAATGACAAAGGATCTTTAGAAGGAAGTACTTTAATAAGGAGGTATGTACAAGTTCTTAGTCTGGAATCTTGTGGTTAAACAGTGGATAGAGGGACAAGAATGGTACGAATTGAGAATACAAGGAGGCTTTTTGGTTCTTAAGAATCGGGAAACAAGGACACCTAGGAAGTATTGAATTTAAAAAATAGGATAAAACCGTCAATTTGGCACACCATCTGAACAAGTAATCGGTAATTTTCATTGCCAGTTTAAATATTATCTCTTATCTATAAAAGGCAAACAAATATGAAAATTTAGATAATAGAAAAAATACATTAGGATTGGCTGATCTACAGAGGGGAGGGGAAGAAGCTGTTGGGCTGAAGTCCCTCAAAATGGAGATTTTTTTTTTAAGTGAAAACTTCTTCAGGCGGATTTTGCCCTTTTTCTTGTGAAGAGTGATTAGATGTAGCCATCTGATCTCAGATGTGTAAGGCTCAAGTAATGGTGGCTGGAGTCGACTAATTGAAGTTTTTTTTTTCATATGGGTTAAAATATCTCAAAAACTAACCTGCATATTGTAAGCGACAGAAATGTTCATCATTTCATCCTCTTTGTAATGACCTATTATTCAAAATTTTATCATAATGCGACACCGTGTTAGGAAGGAAAAAAAAAAAAAAAATAGTGTCGAAAACCAAACGACAATGAGTTTTATTGAAGATATGGATTAAAATATCTCAGACACTAAAAATCGGAACTGCATACTGAAAGAAAGGGAAATGTTCAGCATTTCATTTCCTTTATAATGAGCTATTATTTATAATTTACATTTCATATTATTATTACCGCCTTGATGTTTTTACTTTAATCGTATGGCCTAAAGCACACAATTTAGTTATTTTTTCATTGTTCCATATTTGTTATTGTGAGTGATCTACGGAAACTATTTTAACAATCACAATATATTCTATTCTCACAGTATGTTCTCTTTAAATTATAATACATTTACAGCTATTAAATATAGCCATATGTTATGAAAAAAATTATATCTAAATGTATTATTGCTTGTATAATTACATTTTAATAAGAATTCAAGAATCACTTAAACGCCATTTTATATAGGTAGTTAGTTTCTTTCTTTTTCTTCCACAGTAATTATCATTATATATACATAAAAATAGGCTTTCAGCTGAAGCCCCTTCCAAAATTTAATCCTGGATCAACTAGTGTCTGCTACTGTACATTAGTGATCAAATTTAAAAGATTCACTTGTTTTAAATTTTATATTCTTATCTTAACTAAAATGTTTCACCATATAGGCTATGATCAATGAAAATTCATTTATATTATTAAAATTTCTTACAAGCCAATCTGCTTAATTCATTATCTACTTTAATAATGTACCTAATTTTAATCTAAATAATATAATAAGTACCATTAATTTTAATGCTACAAATTAAGTGATAACAATTGTTATTATAATATTTACCGCAATATTGACAACTGTTTTCTTTGAAAAAGCCTTTTCTACTGCATTGAGAAAGGTTTGCTCCGTGGTTGGATCTAGAGAAGAGGTTGCCTCGTCCATTATCAAGCACGCTGCATTGTGAAGGATAGCTCGCGCTAGGCATAGCTGCTGTCTTTGTCCAGAGCTTAAATTAACACCACCTTCACGAACTTGACCATCTATAACCAAATATTCATATAAGACAACCTGAATTTAGTTTTTAAATTAGCAAACACCTCTTATTGAAAAATTTAGACATAAACTTCTGGTATGCTTGTTATTTTGATCCAATACTCTTGTACCCATATCTTAAACAATATATTGTATATTTATTTATACACTTTTAAGTGTGTTGACATTATTTGAGGGTATGCATATGTTGCCAATATAATTCTTACATACAGAGGTGCTCAGAAGTGAATTTTTTGATGGCGCAACTTGAGCCATCAAAAGTTTTAAGGAGCGCATATTTTGACAGATTTTTGAATTTTTTAGGAGAGCAAATTTTAACGGTGTCATGAATTTTTGGAGTGAAAAGTTTCAGAATACGGTGCAAGGAGAAAACGTGGAACAGACCGCAGCAAGTGTAATTGTGTATAATCTATGATTTTTCTAATTATACTTCCCCTTGCTGTTTGTATGAAAAGGTGAACAATAAAATTTCTTTGGAAGAGAGAGTAAGTTCTTGCGCCATCGATCTTGGGAGGGATGGGCACCCCTGCTTACATAACTTATTCATTTTTTTAAAGCTTGGTTACGTCATAGCGTAAAAATCCAAATTTTCAAAAGAAAGGGGCTATATAAAAAAATATGGTATACAAATTGTAAAGAGTAAAATCATTTTTAAACTTTCATTAATCAAAAGGTATAAAAAAATAATTTAACTTTTTCTCGTAACTGGCCTTCGTCTACTATGAAATGTCCCCTATATTGAATATAATGCATGTATTTATTAATTTTTAACCTTTATATTCTTATGAAAATGTCTCAAAGAGCATAACTATGATTAGAAATAAGAAAAAAGAATATAACATACCAAGACCACCTAGTTGAGTGGATACAGTTTCCTTCATTTGGGCCATTTCTAATGCTTGCCAAAGTTTATCATCATTAAATTTTCCTTCCATATCTAAATTTTCCCTGTAAGTTTTAAAGTTAAATTTAATATTTTATACAATACATTATTCACATTATTACATGAGTCATAACAAAGTTTTTATAGGATCAATTATCTATTAAGCTTGCTTGTATTACTATCAGCTTTCTGAAATATAAATCTATTTTTTTAAATATAATTAATTCATTATTATTTTATTTCATTAGAACAATTGGTGCAGATTGCATTTCTATACATATTTCTATATTTGTCCTAACTGACCTTATTTATAATAATATATAACCACTTTTATTATAATAACTATTTAGTTGTCGAATTTAGAGAGTTTTATCAATCAAAATCTGAAATAAATAATTGAAAAGAACAAATTTTTATATTTAATGGTAATTTTTAATATTTATTGGTCCTTTTGTCATGATGATGGTCCATTAATCACCATTTCTGCAGAAATTTTGTGCATGTATTAAATAAAGTAAGAAATTATACTATATAAAATTACCTGATTGTTCCACTGAACATGATTATATCTTGTGGGATGATAGAAAGTCTCGAACGAAGTATTTGGAGAGGAACTGCTGAAATATCAACACCATCTACCAAAATAGTTCCTTCAACTATTGGAGTCATGCCGAATAAAGACATAACCAGAGAAGATTTACCACTTCCAGTACGCCCACAAATACCAACCTATACATAAATTTGAAGTATAAATGTCAAAGATGGACTAACAAAAAAATTATTAATATAAAAATAAACCAACCTTCTGTCCTGGCTTAATATGAAGAGTTAAATTATGAATCGCTATTTCATTACTATGATCATATCTCAGTGTTACACCTTCAAATCTTATTTCTCCCCTCGCAGGCCACTTAAGTGGAATGAATCCTATGGAAATAGAAGAATTATCAAGTAAAATATACTAATTAACATGAATAGTTTTAATAAGAAGTGGTAATTACTCCTCAAGAAACTATATGCAGAAGAGTAATTTTTACTTTCAATTAGTTTATGATATATGATAAAGTTTTTAATTGCTGAGATTGTTTTGTGTATTATAAATTATGTAATTAAACATTTTTCATACATAAAATAATATTTTGGCAAATAATTTAATTTTTCGTTTGCTTTGAGAAGGAAAATACAAGAATTTTTCCATGAAGCTTTTCTATGAAAATGGATATAAAAATCAATCAATTGAGAGAGATAGCATATAAATTTCTTAAAATGAATTATAAATAGTAAAATTCTCCACTATTTTATAAATTTAGTATGCTATAAATTCATAGAAATCACCAAATAATGGTTTTAAATAAACAACTTTGATCCTCACCATTAGTTTTATAGTTTTCAGAGGGCATCTGAATATAATTAACAATACGTTCTACTCCAGCCATGTACATCTCAACGTCAGAAACAAACTTAACAACCCAGTTTAGATAAATTGGAAGTAGTAAAGTATAGTTGATTGCAAGACCGACTAAAGCAGGTGTTATCAATTGAGGCATAAGCCAGCTACAGATAAGAGAAACAAGTGTTGCGAGTAGGACTATTACAGCCCCGAGGTAATCCTGAAAAAATAATAAATTTTTTTTAACCTCAAAGCTAAAGTCTATGTTAAAAGTAAAATAAATGACTGCTCAAAATAAAATGTTTGATATCAAATACACCTCCTAAGTAATCAATCTTCCAAGAATCAATATGCAAGAACAAAATTTCGTATTTAAGAGCTGACACCTTCATTTGTTTTATTAGTGCTATTTATATATTAATAATATTGTTAATCAGAACAAATATATGAACATACCCATATATATTTATGTGCAGATTAATATTTGTTTTGTACTTAATTTATTTCAATTTAAGATTGGAATATTATTTTATTATAGTACAGACAATTGTCATTTTTTTAGTTCACTGTAGTTATTCTTAGGGGACTAAATGTCCCTGAATAAAATTTACTTTCTTCTTCTTACAGTAGAGTCCAGCAACTCTGGACCAGACCTTGTTAGGATCACCGAAAGTCTTTATTAAATGGATGATTTATTTTTTCTTATAAATAAATCTTTCAAGGAAAAAAATTCCTGGCATACTCTCCACACGACAATCTATGCAATTCGAGAGCAACTATGAATGCAGTTCATTTAAATGTATGATGTCGCTTACTGAACATATGAGATATGACACCATCCCAATTAGAATGATACTAAGCTGCAAGATCTCTAATGGAAGAACAGCTTCTTCCATTAGGAAGGATTTAATTTACTTTATTTAAGTTATTTTTAATCATGCCACTCTTCACAAAGACTGGCATAATAAGTTAAAACAAAAAATTCAATGAAAAAATTAAATCCTTGCTCAAAATGAAATAAAAAAAATTTTTACTTCAGCTTAATTTTATTTTAATACTGTACAATGTTCTCATAAGGTATATATAGAGTTTTAGACTTATGAACATTGGATATAAACATCTTTATGATCAAAACTCAAAATTTATTTATTGGAAAGCATCAAACAACAAAGTAAAGTACATTAATGTTATGATGTAAAGGCTAAGAATTTTAAAAGGGATTATAAAATAAAACAATGTGATGAAAATAATGAAAACAATAATACTATTCTTAGACTCATTGAGTAAAGTCTGCAATGTTCATACAACCAAATGTACAAGGCCATATCCTATTTTTAATTTCCTTTTTTTGTTATATACTTCTGTTGCCTAAAATATAACAAATTGGGGTAATCCTATTGTTATATCATTTAAGTAATGAATTTAATTATAGATGAAATAATGTTCTGAGTTAATGGGTTAATTTTAGGAATTGATTTTTCAAACTGTAATAGATTGAGAAAAATCATCTTACAAGAGCTATTCCAAGCCACCTTGTTGCACAATTGCTTATAAGAAAAGCATTTGTGTGAGCATCAATCTTATAAAGCATGGCTGCAGTAAATCTTCTTTGTTGTTTAAAAGCTCGGATAGTTTCAAGGCCAGACAAAGTTTCAGTTAAATGTGAAATAATGGGAGTTCTAGTCATACTATCAAGTCTTTGCAGTTCCCTGAAAAATATTTTAATTCAATTTTAATTTTTTTTTTTTAATTAATAGAAAACAAATGATATAATTCTATAAATACCTAGAAGAAGAACGGTAAAATTTTTGTACAACATAATACATTATGCAAATTGGAACAGCGATGATAAGAAACCAAGGAGTCACAATAGAATTCACAAGGATTGCAGAGAAACATAAGAAAAGAAACTGCAATAACCTCTGAATAGAAGTTGCCAATTTCTGGAATTAAAAGAAGAAAAATAAATAATAATAATAAACTACATTTGGCAACACTTTTATAGATATTAAGTCTGAAAAATAAAATTTATTTACCTTGTCAATTATATTTATGTCTGTAGAAAAGCGAGCAAGTATTCTACCCAAAGGCATGATTTCAAACACAGTAATTGGAAGCCTTACAACTGAAAATAGCATGTTTCTATGAAGTGTTTTTCTTCCTTGTGAACCACAATATTGGCCAAGAAGATTGTATAATAGAGATATCAAAACGCTGAGTAATGAAAGCCCAGTGTACATCGTCAAATAATAAAATGTCTGCAAAAAAAATTATTAAAGTTAAATTTATAATTGCATAGTATAAAACTATATTCTTTTTAAAAACATTTTTTTATATAAATGCAATCTTAGTAAGTTAACGTGAATATAAGGATTTGTTACAAAAAATCAAGTCAAAACAAATATTAGTAATCCATTAATATTGAGTATACATTTTCCATTAATCTTTTTTGATATGAAAGGCTAACACTTTAATTGTTTTGGTATGATATAGCCAGCGTTTTCATCCTATTTTATTTAAATTTCCTTTTTTGTGAGTCAGATTTTCCCCTTTTTTTGCTCAGAAATAATTTTAAAATCCCTTCTGCTCAAATTGTTTTCAGTTTTCAAATTCAGTTTGTTTTCATAGACAAGGTCAAAATTTAATATAATTGTTACTTTCTTAAGCTTCAAAAGATAAAATGAAGGTGAATAATTCTATGACTCAATAATAAAAAAAATGATATCAAAAACGATTGGATCATCTTTATTTTTAATAAAAATAAATTTTAAGTAATATGTAAATACATTTAAGATTTGATTCAAAATATTGCCATAAGGAAAATAATATTAGATTTTTGTTTAGGGGATAAGAACATGATAGAGATAGTGTCTAAAACATGAATAAAAAAGGACGATATTTCTATCCTCTAGTAAATAAAAAACATTAGTATAAATAAAAAGACAATAATTTTTAGTATATTTAATACTAATATTAAAATCATTATTATTTAGAATTGTGGGTTGATGGTTGACTGTAGTGAATAATTGAAAAGAAGGATGGTTGGGTTGATCAGTCGAAATAAAAAATAGTAAAAATAAATAATTATATTTATTTATATATTTGCGGATGTTTCGGCCTTTAATTCAGGCCTTCATCAAGGCTAAGAAAAGAACCAGATAACAATAGGTATGAGAAACTACAAATGTTGAATAATAAAGAATTAAAATTAAAAAGGTGGAAGGTATAGTAAAATGTAAAACAGAGAAAAGGAATATGAAGTTATATTAGGAAATAATATGTATAAATAGACAATTGAGATATTGAAAAATCTATCAAAATACATTGACTGCGTATAAGAGAATAAAAAAATTTAAATAATGTAAAAAAGATAAATGAGCAAATGTAACAAAATAGAGATGAAGATATGGAAAATAGAGTAACGGGAAGGAGAAAAAAAAAGAAAGAGAAAACTAAGATAAGAAAGATAAACAAACGTGTTCTGTCCAACAGTGTGAAAAGACAAAGGTATTGTAGCAAGAGAGAGGGCATCTGTTATATTGAGCCCTCTGCAACTGCTAACTGAAAAATGTGAACTAAAGCAAAGGAAACGTATGTATTGGACAAGAGATTTATTATAGATAAATTCTATGAGTTATTAATTATTTATTAATGAGTTTGTTAATCATTTTTTCATTTATGTTTTAGTCACTCTCATGTTCTGATTCCCTAATCAAAAATCTAATATTATTTTCCTTCTACAATAAAATGCTATTATAATATACAGTATTATATATTGATCGCACACCCCACCAACTCTTTCTAAAATTATGATCATGGTCAACCATCTTCACGCCAATAAAAATTTAATATAATAACCTTTTCTTCTGAAGTAGAAGATTCTTCAGTCCAAGCACTCAACCAAAAGTCAGTATAAACCCTAAATGCTTGCCAAGAAATTGCTAAAGTGAAATAAAGTATCGATACAAAATATCCACAAGCTTTCACATATGAGAGGTACACATATGGCGATATTTTCCCATACTGTCTTTCATCTGTCGTACTTGTTCCGCACCAGTCCGGATCCACTAAAATGAATAAATAAATTTCAAATCTCACGGATAATAATGATTTTGGTACTTTTAGTTCAAGCCCAATTTAAAAAATATATATATATATTTTTAAATTATAAAAATTATATATTAAGTAATTAATTTGTATTAAATATTAGTTTAAATTACATTCATCTTCATCATCGCAATAGTCATCACTGTAATCACTACAAGTAGACGGCAGCCTTTGGATAGGATGTTTTTCATTTTCGTTGAATACTACAGATCTAGAAATAAATCAAGTTATGAAAACTACTGTTTGATAAAATATAATAATGGTTAAAATGCAAGGCCTACTTGATAGAAGCAGATGACATCAGTCTTTTCAAAATATTTTTCTCTTTGAAACTACCTGTAACAGGTATTTCCGATCCGGTTTGAACATTTCTGAAACCAAAATATTACAAATAGATTTTATAAAATTTCACGATCAGATAAATTACAAATTTTTAACTACTTAGGAATCTTACTTTGTTGAAGTCATGAATATTTGCTTCAACAAATTTCCTCCTTGTATACCACTGTCAAAAGTGTATGTCCTAGACCTTTAAATAAAGCATGCCATTTGAATTTATTAAAAAAAAAAGTAAACTAAAATAAAAATAAAAACAATTATTAAAATTGAATAAGAATCTGTAAATCAATGAATTATTTTAACAATAATTTTTTAATAAATGTTTCTGTTTGCATTAAGGCCCTTAAAACACAGATATAATGGAACATCATTAAAGAATGCCATTGATGTAAGAAATTTGATTTCTATATCGGCAACTATGTTGTAAAAGCCTGTAAGTGCAAAAACTAAAATTATTCATAAGATGAAATAAACCATGTATCTTTTATTTTATGAACTGGATTTTCTGTTAAATTTTTATTGTATGTTTAAGATTTATTGCAGTTTTTCTTTTTTTGCAGGTAAATATTCTATAATGAATAGAAAAAAAGTAACATACTCTAAGTTTAAGATAAATATTAACCTATATCCCATCCTAGACCCTAAACACATTATCCCAGATCACCATTTGGATAGATGTAGTCTCCTCTGCATTGGAGTGCGGAATGTACTGCACGGAAGTCTTTCTCGACGTTGAACAGGCGTTTGATAGAGTCTGGCATCCGGGGCTGATGTACAAACTCCGTAAATTCCTTCCACCTACATACTTCCTCATTATCCATTCCTACCTTACTGACAGATACTTCAAAGTCAATCATAACAATTCTTATTATCTCTTTTTACTCAGTTTGCCAGTGTTTCTCAAGGTAGTATCCTAGATCTTATCCTTTACACAGTTTATACAGCTGATATCCCAACCCGATCCAACACTGTCATCACCACCTATGCCGATGACACTTGTATCCTATCAATTAATAACGATCCATCTATTGCATCCCAAACTTTTCAATCAGACATCACAAGTCTTGAAAAATGGTGTCAAAACTGGAGGATTAAAATAAATTCCAACAAATTCCATCAAATTACCTTTACTCTTCGTCGTAAACCTATGTCTTCCTGTCCTACAGTATCCTTCAACAATAGCCCACTTATTTCTGTTGAACAAATCCGATATCTAGGACTCCACTTGGGCCCTCCATTGGGCCACTTGGGCAACGACTCACCTGGAACCTCCATACCAGACTGAAATGACTAGAAACTGCCTGGTGTGTTTAAAGTAGAAAAGAGCCGATTCTTGTCCAACTTATTACCATTTTGTGTTACCGTATTGTAGATACATATTATGTGATATTTTATAAAACGACAAAACATTAATATTGGTTTTTATTTCAAATTTTTTTTGTTTCTATTTTATTTAAAATAATTTATATTGTAAAGTTAAGTTATAAACGTATACTAATGTAACTTATTATTATCACAAACTTACTTTTTGTAATCAGTGTAATCATTGGTACAATAAAAATATGGTAATTTTTATTAATAATTTTACCTTCTTCCTTGATTTATGGTTGGACTAGAAGCCTGCCTCGTGACGGGACAAACTTGGGGAGGAGCACTAGGGTGCGGTTGGAGGGAGCTTGCTCTGGCGACGGGCCTGTGCCTAGGCAAGGTCATAGCCCTCCCGAGAGGTAGTTCTTTTTCTGGTAATGGCAATTCACCGGTCCAGAAAAATTCCGATGCTGTACTCAGTCTTTTATGAAAAGGTATAAATAGCGGTTTATTCTGAAATTGGAAAATAAATAGAATAAAAATAAAAGTTAAACATAAGACCACTCATTCACATTTATAATTAACAATACAAATGTTAATTTTTTAAAATAATTTATAAATAAAAAGAAAAATAATAACCTGCTGTCTGCCTGACTGCCTTATATATCTGCCTATTCGAGAAACTAGTCTAACTAGTTGCCATCTTTCTCTTGCTGTTTTTCCTCTTTCTTCACTGACAAAAGTCACAACACCGTCTACTAGCTCTAAATCTCTAAGCTTTCCACATGCCTTAAGTCGACCACTTTCCAATGCTACGACCTATCAAAATAATTGGTGATTATAGCTATAAAAATAAATTAATTTAGACAAGTAAAATATAAAAAAAAAGTATTTTGTTGAATATACTATAAAAGCCATTCAATGTCATAGAGAGCAAAGCTACAGGTAGAAGGGCCTGATTTTTAACATTATCGCAATCAATGGAAACAATGCTCAAACTGCCAAAATATCGTACTAATTTTTTAAAAGTTTAAGTAACGTCTTACAAACTCCATGTGTCACCATTACTGAACAAAATAAATTTCTGACAAGAGAAAGTTTATAGTACTAAACCAGGATTTAAATTTAGTTCATTCAGCAAACAAACTTTATAAGCTGATCTCCTCTCCTTAAATATATAATAGAAAACTAAAATATATTCAATGAAGGAAAGATATTAGGTATATACAAGTATATAAACTTACTAAATCAGCATAGGTAAGCAAATGAAGAGAATGTGTGACCATAACAACAGTTTTTTTCTGTTTCGTCACCAAATTTAATACTCCTTTTTCAAAAACATGTTGAGCAACATGATAATCGAGTGATGAAAGTGGGTCATCCTGAAATACAAAAACCATCATGTATTTATTTTGTTAATAAATAAAACTGTTTTTATTTTGTTACTAATTTACAACAAAACTTTTTTTAAAATTTAAAAATAATATTAAAATTAATTAAAACATTTATTTGTTAGTTTTAATATATTTTAAAATACTAATAAAAAATAAACACAAATATATAGATGAGAACAAGTATTGGGTAGTATACAATGAAATTTCAATTTTTCAAAATAATATTGATAAAAAATGAACAGAGACAACCTAATTGGAGTAATAATCCATCCCTACCATGCGATCCATCCAATAACATTTTTTAAAATTCATAATCCATAAAAACTCAATGTCTAAAAGAAAATCAAATTTTAGAAGATCTTTTGTATATTGTTGTGCATTGACTATTGAAAAATGGTTCTAAGTCATAAAAGACATAATGGATTGGTAATTGGAATGTTTAGTATTAATATAGTTTGATTATTAAGTTCTGTAGGTTTAAAAAGTCATTTACAAAATGAATATTAGGTATGAAGGAGAATCGACCCTACGAAAATTATACTTTAAAATTAAAGCTTTGCACTATTTACTCAGTAATAAATTGTGATTTTCTTATGAGTATTTTTTTTATTACCACCTACTGTACCATTTATGGCATATGGGAGGATTATTCTAGAGGTACAACCACCAAACCTAATCTAACCAGAGTTGAAATGTCATTCCATGTATCAGTCATGAAATAAATTTCAGCCCGCCAAGGTGGATTTAAACCGGTGTCGCTTATTTATTGACATTCTGTTATAAGTAATAAAAAAGAAATATTTATAATATATAAAATAAATTTAAATTCATTTGGGATATAAAATAACTTTTTTCAAAAATATTTAGGGTTCAGATGTTCTATAAAAAAACTTCTAGTCCTATTTCTAGAGCAAAAAAATATATAAATTGAAAGGAGGCATTTGGTATACTTACAAGTATGATGACGTTAGCTTTTGAATACAAAGCTCTAGCGATAGCGACTCTCTGCCTCTGACCACCGGATAAGTTGATGCCCTTTTCTCCGATTTCAGTAAGATCTTTTTGTGGCAGAATATCAATATCAGGCTGGAGAGCCGTAGCATTTATAACTCTGTTAAACCTTTTTGGTTTGTAAGGGAGGCCCATCAAAATGTTATCTCTTAGTGTAGCGTTCAAGAGCCATGGCTGCTGAGAAACATATGCCAATGAAACACCTCTGGAAAAAAAAAAAAGTAATAAGATGACATAAAACTGGTATTCTCTCATAGCCGCCAACTATTTTCTTCGTTAGTTTGCCTTGAACTTAACTTTTTGGTGAAAAATCCTTATAATATAAAAACCTAAATTGTTTCTGGTCAAATCAAGGCAGATAAAATTAATCATTTGTAGAATAAGCCAATATTTATCAGTTAAAAGAGTACGGCATAGCAAACAAAGAAAATAGATATAAATTAAATCAACTAATCATAGTATTTTTTTTTTATTAACTAACAACCAGAATTGGAAGAAGTGCAAGTGTGGAAACATGATAGTATAATGACTGCTAATAGGATAAGTGGCAAATAGTTGTAATAGTTTATCTCTGTATTTGTATATTGCTAGTAGTCACAGTAACAGTCAACTTGATTATAACTTGTTAATTTACTTTCTATAATGAATTATATATGTCTCATAAGTAAAATAATTAATATCATGCAATTAATAAAATCACATCCATAAAATGTATGGACTGTTTTAAAATAAACCTAAACCAATACTTTCTTAACACGATTTTTTTCAATTCAGAATGGTTAGTGTGGAAACATTCTTTTGATGATTTTATGGAAACATTTTGACAAGATAAAGATCGGATGTAATGTTTCTATTTGTTATACATTTTTATTTTAGAAGTTACAAAACAAATTGGAGAAATTAAAAGTTATTTTGAAAAATTGGATACAGAGAATATGAAATATGACTATTACATTTCCAACCTTTACTAACTATATGAATTTAGAGAACAACCTTTTTAGGAATACGAATTAAAAGTAAAATAAAATGGTAGCTAAAATATTTATTAATTGTTTCAAAATTCTTATTGCACACTAATTTTAGAGTGTGTCCACATCACTTACACTTTTCTTAGTTTCTTAAAAATGTGTACCACCAAAATTATAAATTTTTCTTGTTTAAAATGATAAAAAAAAGAAAAAGTTGTATATTATCATGTTATAAAGCTAAATAAAATATTTCATACTTTTCCCATTTGAGGAGGCCAGAAACAGATTTCATTTCCCCAAGAAGAGCACTAAGAAAAGAACTTTTACCACTTCCAACTCTGCCGATCACAGCCGTCAATTCTCCTACACATTAATAAAAAAAAATGTATTTTATTTAAAAATTTATATTTAAAGAAATATCATAGACAAAGAAAGAACAACAAAATACCTTTAGGTATGTTGAGTTTATCTATCCACAAAGTAGGTTTCTCTTCTTCACCCCAAGAGAATCCAGCATCTCTCAGAATACAAACAGAACTTTTGTGAACTTTTACATCTTCTTTATTAATTGTGTCATTGCTATCACCGGTGTCATCGGTTTCTTCTACGATATCTTTGAGGCCAAAGGCGCTTTCTCTCCTCACCTAACAGTTTATTAATTTCTTATCATTCAATATGATTCATTTTGAAAAAAAAAAAAAAACAATAACAAAGATATACTTGTGATTTCTTTCAGGTGCCACACTTAGTGTTTAAAATATACCTTCATAAATATTTTAACTATATTAAAAATAATTTTACTGTGTTTAAAGAATTTCAGTTTCCTTTGAGCACAATTTAAGTAAACAATTATCCAGAAAATTTAAATAGTTTATTTTTTGAAACGAACAATAAAAAAAAATTAAGAATCACGTATAATGAGTCAACTTTCAAATATATTTATAATATTAACAATACATGTGTTGATTATTGTAATGCAAATTAAATGATAACAAAACCAGAATAATTATCACTATCAAATTATAAAATTGGAAAAGGTAGAAAAATATGAATAATTGGATGTTAGAAACTTTCTTAAATATATTTAAATAAAAAGTTATTTAATTAATATGCTTACTTCTGGAATAGTTTCTGGTTTATTTTTCTTAGAGTTCTTTTGAAAAATTGGGTCATGAACGGCAGGTAGAATATTAATAGTTTCTTGTAAGGCAAAAAATTCTTCAAGCCTTTTAGTGCTTATCTGAAAAATTAATAAAAAAAATCTTGATATTTATAATATATTCTGAAGTATTTAAAGAAAAAAATACTTTAGATTAAATAGAAAGTTTAAGTTTAAGTAGACGGAAAATGTAGGAAGAATGATGGAATTAGATGAGACCTTAAATGAAATAAAGGAAATGTGTGAGTCAGAAATTAGAGAAAAGGCGTAGCCAATAGGCATAGTCTTAGCACAAAATGCATCTATTCTTTCGCATATCTCTTAAGTTTATCAGAGATTGTATCATAAACTAAATCAATGCAGCCAAAATGAAAATGATGATAGTACAATTTTAAGGTAAAAGTGAAATGACAGAAAATTGGAACTAAGTTGTCTTTAGAGATGATGTTTCGACCAAAAATGAAACCAAGGTTTTTTTTTAACATTGGTACAATATTTAATCAGGAAGCTTAATAATGATAATAATAAATTTAATAACAAAGAAAATTATAAAATGAAATAAATAATTTGAGTTTAATTATAATAAAACCTCTTTAGGAAACACAAAAGAATTGGTTAAATTTGTTGCAACATGAATTAATTACCAACAAATAAGGTTCACCATTTAAGATAATTTATCAAAGCAGAAAAGTGAATTTGTAATTTTTAAATATTAGTAAACAGAAATTTTTTTTTTACATAAATGTCATTCAGTAGTTAATTAATTGAATCTTATTTTTATTCATTAATATTTATACATACCAAAGCACTAATTATGATGGGAACAGTAATTGGAAAAATACAAAGTGGCACTGTTAGTTGATTGAAAAGCGCTAATGCAGAAAAGACGTTGGCTGGTGAGAGTGAAGATCCTTCTATGTAATAGTACACTCCAAGAGTAACTAGTGTTATCAGTGAAGTAGAACTATGGGTCAGAAAAGCTGAAATTATAAACATTGATAGATTTAGTATTCATTAAATAGTGTAATAATAATAAATTATAGTTAAATAATAAAAATAATGAAATTATCACTGACTCATCAAGGCCCAATACAAGGAATCCTTGTCTAAAAACTTGATTTCTTTCTTTCGAGCGGATGTGATCCGGACACAGAATTCATTTTCCCAGCCGCATAGTTTAAGAACTTTAATTCCTTGCAGCAGTTCATTGGTCATTCTAAGTCTTTCATCACACAAAGTCTAAAAAAAAATATTTCATGTACACTTAAAACTTTTTTATTTTAATGAAATTTACAACTGTATTACATTAAAAATACAACAAGTAAATGTGACATTGGTAACATGACATGTACAACATGAAGGGAAACTACCCATTGGTAGAACTCAAATACTTAAAACATAAAGTAATTAAAGAAAGGGAAAGTTAAAAGTAAAGCCCTTTACTTAGATTTATCTGAAATTAAAAAAAAAAAAAATGTAATGTTACAAAATATGAAGTTGTGGAATTGGTACTTAGTCAGGAAGTACTTCTTTTTTAAATAATATTTACTACAATAATAACTTTTTTTACGAGAAAGCATTTTTTTTAACAGTAATAATGTATAATGATCTAGCCAGAAGGATCATGCATAAAGCACCGACCTATCCAAGACCAGCACTGGAGGTGGGGTCTCAAGACCATATTCTATCTACAGTTGATTAAACAAAAATAGCAGTACAGCCCAACCCAAAATTGGACTTGAGATTCAAGAGTCCATTTGTTCATTGAGCCACCATGATCTCTTACATTTTATTATATTACTTTTACTATTGTACAATACCTTTATTTAATTAACTTTTTCTTATTATTTAATTATCTTTTCTTTCTAGCCTACTTGGTCATTCCTAGTTGGAGGGGTTTTAATTTTACAGGTAGTATTCTAAAAAGAGTGGTAAGATCGAGATTCATTCCACGGATTGATCAAAAATTAAATTTCAACCCATTCTGGGAAGAACTGAACTGGTGCCACCTCTAACTTGAGGTTACAAAGGTAAAATCTTAACATTCGGTCACCATTACCTAAACCTATTCCACTACCATAATTTTTTACACTCCAATGGTCTCCAAACATTTTGGCCACTTTTTTACATTTCACTAGGTCTCACGGGGCATAGATCATGTTGATAAAAAAATTGGTTCCTTTCTTTATTATCTATAGAACAAATTAAGAAACATATATAATTGGTTTTAAGAATTACAAAATTAACATAGCTTTGGTTCATACAATTTAATTTTGTTGACGAGTTTTATTTAAAATCTGCTAAACAAACTATCAAAACCATTTTCTTATTAAAATTTACAAACACTTTGTTGTAAAATTAAAAGTTAATAAAAAATCTTTGGCAGGTCTTTGGAGAGCTCTATCTTACATGAATAATAGAAGAGTATTTGAATATTAAATACTTACTGTTATGATCTTCGAATTGTTAGACATTTTCTTCCCAATAATAAACTGTAAAGGAGTCATGAAGATAATACAAAATAGCGCACCGATAACAGCACTTAGTCCAAGCTTGCAGTACAACAAATACATCAACACTGCCACCTAAATAAACATTATTATTTTTAAAATACATACACATAATGAATGAGCATATATGATTTATCCATATTTGATGCTACCTTCCATGGTATCGCCCAAGTATAATGGCCTATCCAAAAACAAGTCATGACGTTGAATGCATCCTCTGACATCAGATTTGTAGTGCTCCCCACTCTTCCTTCAGATGAAGAATCATCATCTTTGTTTGACATACTGAGCTTTAACGTTTTATCATATATTAAAGCCTGTAAAATATTTATAAATTATTTTTACATGCCATTAGTTAAGTATTTGTTTATTTAAATATAAGAAGCACAAAACAAAGCATCATGTTCCTAAAGGAGTGGAAGGAAGGGTTGGTCTGCACTTACCATAGATAGGAGGAACCACAGGGGGTGAGTTTTTATTATTGAATGATAACTTCATAACAAAAAAAAAAGATTTACTCTGATCAGAAGAAAAATTTTTTTTGTTTTTTTGTAGAATTTTCTCTCAGTAGATTAATTTGATTAACCATATAAATACACTTAAACTTAAAAATAACAATTTATTTATAGGCCTATGAATAGAATATGAATGAATGAATTCAAATAATTGATGGAATATAGAAGAATATACATACATTTTCTATTTATATTTATGTTCAGCTATTTAATTATCTTCAATTATATTCAACTGATCATTAGAAGGAGTGAAAATGATAGCATAAATAGATGAAAAGTATAAAACAATACTTTTTTTTAATTTGGAATAAATGTTTTTTATTCTATGTCCCATTTATTAAGGGGTTAAAATATACCGGTGAATATTTTTTGGAGAGCACTAAAAACAAATACCACAGACCCTAAATGGTTTAGGTAGGACATTGAAACAAAGTGCTATTGAATTAATTGATTATGTAAGAAACGTGGATTTTAAATATTTATTATCTGCTTTAAGAATAGTATGGGCAAGATAAATGTTTTTTATTTAATGTTCATAGCTTAAAATAATGATTTTATAAAGTTGCATAATACAAACCTGAAGTGCAGTTTTCAGACGTATTCCTTCAACAGTTATAATATGTGAACTAGCTTGGGAGAAACTTCCTTGGGCCAATGCACTTAGGAAAATTATTCCAGCCATATTGTATCCATTCCTCAGAAAGTCATTAACTTTAATGTATTTACCCTTAAAAAAGAATATTTCATTAAAACATGTGGATATACTGAAAGCATTAAATAAAAGAAATAAATTGCAATGATGATCAATTATACTGATATTTTTTATCATTCATAAAAATAAAACACGAAGGTTATGTACATTTATAGAATTTAAATTAAGTAAACTATTAATATAAATTGATAAAGAAAGACAATGTAACCATATCCTGTAATCCAGAAACAAGATCTTTTTTTTTGTTCTAAAATTTCAATCTCAAATTGTTCCGAAAATGACCTGATTTTCCACTCAAGTCATGTGTGTATGCAGCCATAGCTCCCTTATTCAACCTCCATCAGCTATCAATACTGATAAAGTGGTTGAGAATGAAACCTGTGTTTGCTTTACTTTTTAAGTGCATTTTTTTTTTTTTTTTTTTTTTGTGTAAATATGGTGGTGAATGTGCTTTCTGATATCTATTATAAATGTCATTAATTGAAAAAGAACAATCAATAAACCAGTAAAAAAGAAATAAAAAACCAATGCCAATTACTGATATAATATAAGCTGTCCGATTTGTTTTATAATTAATTAATAAAGTGACTAAGTAGTAAACATAATTCGATAAAAGACTAATTTGCTCACAATTAGACCCATTTGCAAAGATCCCCCATCAGAACTAAAGCTGTGGTTCACTTTAAAATTTAAAACTCCAGGGATGCCCATCCCCTCAAGGGTGATGGTGTATGAACCTTCTTTCACCCATTCCCAAGATATTTATGCTCTTCTCTTCTTAAAAACATTAGAAATAAAAGTACCATAAATGATGTACAATTAGATTTTCTGAGGTTTGTTCCATGTATTTCCTTTGTTTCCTTGTTTGAAACTTTTCAATACGAAAATTCATAACTCTGTCGAAATATGCCATGCCCCCCTCAAAAATTCAAAGTTCTGCTAAAATCTGCCCCCTCCCTCTCAACTTGCACCATAAAACCCGCTTGTGAGCATCCCCAGAAAACTCCTCTTAAAGTTTTTTAAGGACATTTACTTTATTGTCTGATGGATTTGGAAATTTTCTTATTCTTTAATAGATATATTAAAAAGCAATTGAATCATCAATTAAAATTAGAATAATGACAAATTAAAATTGTTATACAATTTATACAAACATATGCATGATAATGGAAAAAGAAAAAATTAAACATACCTCAAAGCTCTGAACTTGATTGTTCGTTACGTATTCAACAATAACAGCTATTCCAAGTGGTGCTACAAATCCAACCATGTCACCAAGGAATTTAAGAACTCCACCAATGAAGAAATTCCTCCAATAGCATTGAAAATAACATTTCCACAAAGAAGGATTTTTGTCTGGTCCCTAGGAAAAAATATTTGCAGCAATTATTTAATTAATAATTATTTTATTTTTTAAATTTACCTACTGGTACCAAATTAGGGGATATAAGAAGGTCTTATATGTATAAATATAACAATGATTTTTCCTTTTTTATAATTAAAAAATTGAGTTACAAAAAATTAGGTGTTTAAATCCATTAACTTGGGTTTCATATTTATGTGAATTTTAATCCTTCTCCAATAATTCTTTTATTCATGCAATGTTTGTAGTTTAAAAAAAAAATAATAATAACTAAGATTATTACAAATAGGAAAATAAAGTCATTTATCGGTAATTCAAATATTTTTTCCATAAAAACTACGTATAAATCACAAAAAAATGTTGGATCTCAACATTGTATAGAACATAATTTAAGATTTGTTCGACTTTAATGCATATTTCTATAAAATTGTAGACCTTAGACTTAAATTCAACTACAAGTGGCAAGAATTATTTCTAAAACCCTAAAAAAATCATTTTAGATGATGATATTGAAGAAGATAAAAGAACTGAAGTGCTCAATATTACGATGTTTTATATACAAATTTAAATTATTTTAATACATTTATAGTGATATGAGTATCCATACTAATAAGAATAATTTCAGTAGGTGTATTTGTAGTAATCAAATATTTCATTTCTAAAAATCATTACCTTGTAATCATACAAGCAGATACACTATAAAATACACATATATAGAACTCACCTTATTTCTGTTATATGTTTCTGTAAAACATGCAAATTGCTCCATTGAACTCTCAGATATTGGAAGTTTTCCAAGATCTTCCATTTCCAGCGGGTGTTTGTAGCCCATTTTCAATAGAGGTAGTAGCCAAAAGAAAGTTATTCTAGAATACCAATGCGCGTTTTCATGTTTGTAGCTGTAGAATTCTCTTTTCAGGTGTTTTTTCTCATCATCTCCGCCATCTTTCATCTGAAAAAAAAGTTGAAGTTATTTTTTCAACCTGCAGAATGTAATAAAATTTATGAAAAAAATGTCTTAATCCCCTCCATTTCATATAGGTCACGAAAACAGTTTTGAACCTAAGTATTAGAATCATCCTATATTTTTACAAGTTAAGACTCTATTCTTCTCTGGACTAATAATTCATATAGTTAATATCACGAGTGAATCCAGGATTTAATTTATGGGAGGAACGATTTCAGGTGACGTCCTGCACGGGGTTGGTCTTCAATTGACATTTCTTCATATTTAAAATGTGAAAACCACCTGTTGAATGGTTTTAATAAGGCATCACATTTTCAAAAAATTGTCACCGGCGAACGAATCTACACACAGTGACACAATTTCGTACACTAACTCAAGAGATCTATCCGAGGAGATAGATCTAGGAAATCTATCCCTTAAAAATAATAATTTTTTGGGTATTGTAATAATGTTTTAAAATTGTAAGTAAGGACTGTGAGATTAAATAAGGGTGTTATAAAAATTAATCTTATATAATTTCATATTTCTAATTTTTTTTATTTTCCATTAAATTTGCCACTGAGTTGTGACACAATCAAGCAAATGTGTTCTCGTTAATTATATCTTCTTGTATTCTTGATACATGCTTAACATGTCATCAGAAGACCTCTAGGCCACTGCCTTCTTAGTCATCGTTGAGGCTCACCAGGTAACAGAGGGGAAGATAGAGATAGAATGAGTGGATTTGGATGATTGAGAGAAGAAGAATGAAATGTTGTGTACTTGTTGTGTATGTAGGATTTTACTTTTGGTATGTTCATGTCTGTGTGTATGATGTGACTTGAAATAAACCAAGGAGCATTGACGATTTTTGTTTATGTGTGTGTCTTTTGTGGAGCCCCAAAGTTCTGCTCCGTATGTCCAAATATGTCTTAGCATGGTAGTGTAGATTAGTCGTTCGTGTAGTAAGTTGAGTGGAGATCTGTAGTCCAAAAGATGTGACAGTTGTTTGTATCGTCTGGTCAGTTCTTGTTTTTTAATTTAGTGTGAATGTTCCAGGTGAGTTTTTTGTCCAAGTATAGTGTAGTTGGTACCCTACATGTGTTTTTGAGGGAACTGGCTTATGGCCAGGACAACTAAGGCATATATCTATCTTAAATATGTAATATCAGTTTCGTACGACTTCTCACTTTCGAGCTAGAGTGTTCACAGACACATAAACCATTTTTCGAGACTTGGTTATATGGACTCAGGGGATCTCAAAATGTGTATTTCTGTTGAAAACTCAGATTCAAAAATTTTCATGATCTCAATACTTACACTTATCTATATATTTAATATATAGGTACGTGAAAGTAAAAAAAATCGAAATCCGACATTGGCATTTTCCTGCCGACAAACCATGATATCGAATCGATTGTTTCCAAACGATATTAGGTGATATCAAAAGTAAAATATCGATATGGATATTATCACGACATCCCTAGGAAAAAAAGAACATTAAAAATAAATCTATGGAAAAATATATTAATAACATCAAAATGATACATATATCAAACATTTTTTAAGTGCAAAACGTTCTCGTTTCATAGAGAGAAATTTCATCAAAATGTTAAGTTATTCAATTTTATGAAATGTTTCTAAACGACTTTTATGTGACATTTAAACCATTATATATAGTGATTGTTTAAGCATTTAGCTTAGATAATTTTAAAATATTACTTTCTAATTTGGGGAAGGGGGAAGCTTTTGAGCCGAAAAGCACCTCCTCGCAGGTCTATCAGTTATGAGAACCGAACATGATTCTTAAGATAAATTGGTCTGATTCGTAGTCTAAGAAAAGCTACTCGAGGTGCGATGGGCACGGTAAAAAAATATAATTACGAAGCACATCTATTGTCTCTGTCCTCGAGAGAAATAAAAAAACGCTGAACTAGCTCGCTTCTCCCATGTTTTAATTTATAATTCCAAAACCACCTCCTGCGTGGGATTTCCTGATTAATTTCGATTTGTCACAGAGCATAATCCATAGCAATACAAAAAGAAGTGGACGGGAGGATGACAAAAGTGAAATAACGGTCGAATAAGTGAACAATGAAGGAGATTATTCTGGATGGTATCGTAACAGATGGTAGATGGTAGATTGTGGATGGAGATTGTACCTAAACCAGAACGTGGGCAGATCTATGGGGTTTACTATAAGTCGAGGCGCTGCTCCATATTATCTAGCCCAATTAGAGGAGGTACTATTACCTCACTAATGAAAGCAACGCTCTTCTTTGGGATATGTCGTGGGCGATCTCCTATCCTACCGCCATATTAATTCTGTTGTGGAGCAGGTTTCTAAGGCATGGTCTAGTGAATAACATTACCAGCAAGACTGGCCCAATCGAAGGCCTTTTTGAAAGCTAAGAAGTTGCAGGGTGACTCAAAATAGCATTTTAAACAAATTTATGCAAAAAAAAAACATATGTCAGGACGCCTTTGTAGATTTCAGGATGCAACATATAGTAGAAAATCGCGAATGAGCTCCCGCAATCAAAGGGTTAATGAGCATACCATAATGTTACCATCCACAGCAAATATACAATATATACATATGTCTTAGAGGTTTCATACTTTTAAGCTCGGGCGCCATTGAAACACAGTTTCTGTGTCTCAATTTGCACTCGGAAGAATGAATATGGTGTTAAAGTGGTCAGAAATTTACAACATAGATTTAATATTAGATTTTCCCTGTAATTAAAATTTGGAACACTTTATTAAAATAATGTTGAATAATCTAAATAAAATATAGTTGATTTCCTATTAAAACTTAAAAGAATTACCTTTTACTTATCAGCAATTATGAATAGATAAATTGATATGTATTTGTAAGGCATTTTTTAGTTTATAAAGGAAAGTAATAAAAAATGATTTTCTCATCTCTATTATATAAATTTTATCAAAAGTATTAACAAGGTGTCTAAAAGAGTCCGTTCTTAGAATTGAACAAAATGTTCAAAAATATTTGTTAATATATTGGTTATCACAAAGACTGAATAATGAAAATTAACTTAATCTTGTGAAACAATAACACATATCCAGTGGCCGTTCTGCCACTGCTGCTGTTAAAGAAAGATGCCATGCCCGTCTTAATTAGTGTTGCCCAAATGCGAGACCGAGACGAGTCTTGGTCTTGCAAACTCAGTCTTGGTCATGGTCTTGGTCTTGCGCAAGACTCTAGCAACGGTCTTGCAGTTACTTATTAGCTTATTACATTAGAGATATTACTGTAATTTTTTAGATAGGAGAAACCTAACTAAGCCCGAATGAAAAATTAGAGGAGTTTGATACAAAAGTATATTGGTTTTACCAATTATTAACATATGATAACTAAGATTGTCAAGTATTAGTAACTATTTTGCCTCATTAAAATAATCGATTTTTTTACCAGTCCTGGTCTTCGTCCTGGCGAAGTGCAAGACCAAGACCGATTTTGGGCAACACTCGTCTTAATGCTCAAGTAAATCACTTTGAACAACATTGAATATGAATTTAATGTTTACGTTTAATAAATCAAGTAGTTGGAACAAATAAATAAGTTTTATTAACTTAATATAACGTAAATAATTCATAACGATGAAAATCTTTAGGTGTAAATATCTCCTGAACAAAGCGTTTGCGGACAAACCTTCAGAGGAATTTTTTTTCTAGTTTTGAGATCCTTAATTCATATTTTCAGGTTAGCCACTTAAACCTGAAACACCCTGTAGATCGAAAAGGCCATAGCATTTTTAGGAAATTTTAAACATAATAGGCTGATAGCACTCCTTTTAGGTATTACGAAAATGGTAGTCTGCCAGCTCATATAGGTCAATTTAAGGTTTTAGGAGCATTTGAACCCACCAAAAAGTTGAAAATGTTGGTGAATTTTAAGCTAATTTTATCATATTAAATACCTCAGAAACTAAAAATCGGGCTTACATATAGTAGGACAGGGAAATGTTCTGCATTTCATCCTCCTTCTAATGACCTACTATTCAAAATTCTATCTTAACGCGACGAAGAGAAAATTTTCTTAAAGTGTCTCAACATTTTGAACTGTTTGATGGGTTCAAATGCACCTAAAACCTTAAATCAACCTATCCGAGCTGGCAGACAAACATTTTCGTAATACCTAAAAGGAGTACTTTCATCGTGTTAGGTTGACAATTTGCTTAAAATATTTATAGCCTTTTAGGCCCTGGCTCCTAAATTTAATTACAGTTCAAGATATTTGTGAAAATGGATAATTCCAAAATTTCCATAAAATTCCAAGTATGAAGATTTTTCTAAATCAGAATGTTTTTGAGAGATTAATAACTCCTGGGTGTTTACTTTTTTAAAAGTCGGTTTATGCTAGAATCAGTTTCAAACAAACACACACAGATGTAAGTTTGTACTATAAATGACCGCAGTAATAGATACATCAGGAGCCGTGGAGCCGGACGGAACGAATTTGTATGTAAAAAGTTGAAACCGAGAGGAAGTGTTACAAATGTCGTCGGGTACAAGACAACTTTTAGTGAGTAGCGTACTTCCCTACTGATGAAGTGAATTGTTTAGGGGAGCTTTTATATAATGGACGATATATATTCACATCGAGGCATCTTGTAAGACGTAAAAATCACATTTTTTTGCTTCTGCGCCTATAAAAAAAAGTGGGTGCGCCTTAAACACAGAACTGGCTTGGGAATCAAGGATTAAAGGAAGGGGACATCTGAAAGAATTTTGTTAAATTTATTTTGGTAAAAATCTTATTAACATTTAAACAAGTAGCGGATCGAGGATTTAATATTGAGTGCTTCAGCCCGAAAGTTTTTTTTTTTAAATACTTTAGAAGAAAAAGAGAGAAACAAAATTACCTATATGGCATAAAGTATAAACTATTTATATACAGTCGCGATCAGAGAATTTGCAACACTTATTTCTTTTGATTCTTGTGTTGATGACGTTGGTTCCATTGAATGTTTTCTTATTGAGGT